CTCGTAGCAACGGTCAGAGCCACGCCCACTCCCTTAGCTAGACCAATCAGATGTTTACACCAGACCGAGAGCAGTAAATGAAGCGGTGGGGGTTGGGCAGATATGCCTCATCATTCGCTTTACCTTAAACAATCGCATATGAAATCATAAATCAGCGGTGGAGCTCAGCGTATAGTAATGCTGGTGCTGTGTTTTGGGTTTGGTGTTTACAAAACACCAGAATAATACTGATACTGATGTTTAATGTTGATAACTGAAGGACATTTCAGCTACAAAATGCACTTACTTTCTGTAGCTGTAATGTCATTCAGTTATCAAAACGTCGACAATTATAACAAAATAATGTAATGTTATGAAGAAAAGCTATAAAATGTAGTCTGATGTGAGCAAACGCATTGTTGATGTGTAATTCTAAAGTGTTTTGAAAGGTGTAAAGAGATTTTATTTAATTTATTAAATCCAATCAATAATAGCCAGACATAACTATCATGATATTCAGATTAATAATCTCTCTCTAACCTGAGTAATTCAGAAAAATAGACTTTTGTTGTTAATTTTTACTGCATTACGTGTAAATAACACACACAAAACATATTGGACGTCTGTTCTTAGCACAATATGCTGGTGAAGAGATGGCAAGGAACAGCATTTGAGTTAGCACAGTCTCTTAGTTTCCTTCTCTTTCTGCTTGATGTTGATCTTTTTTTTTTTTTGTTAGGTTATTTATAAACATTTTGTTTATTTGTATGTTTATATGTTATACACTATATATCTGGCATGTCTCAGCCAGAATAAATTATAAATAAATTGTTTTTGAAAGGCAAAAAAAAAAAAAAGTTTCCATCTCATATCATTGCCACTTTGCGTTTTTAAAGGTGTCTGTTCAGGATATAATGAGACCGCGCTGTCTGGAGTCTGGGTGTAATTTGATCAGTGCAGTGCTCGTGTCTCTTTAAACAGTGTTTGTAAATATTGCCTGTCCCGCCTTCTCCACATTCCTCAATTCCCTCTCGCCGCGGGGGCGGGGTTTAAACTGCCACGCGTCACATTTGACCAATCAGAACTCACAGTCTGAAGACAGACGTGTGAGCAACCTATGTGGAGCCGCGGATTGATGACAAGACCTTGATGGTTGACTGGCCTGTTAAAGCGTCTTTAAAAAATAACTCAAATGCTGTTCCTTGCCATTTAGATTCTTTTCACCAGCATATTTGTGCTAAGAACAGACGTATAGGTTTTGTGTGTGTTGTTTACACGTAATGCATATTTGTATATTGTATATTTTTTCGAATTACTCAAGTAAGAGAGAGATTATTAATGTGAATATCATGATAGTTATGTCTGGCTACTATTGATTTGATTTATTAAATTAAATAAAATCTCTTTACACCTTTCAAAACACTTTAGAATTACACATCAACAATTGTAGAGTTAAAATCTGAATTATTAAACTCCCTTTGATTTATTTTTTTTGCATTTTTAAAAAAATATTTCCCAAATTATGTTTAATAGAGTAAGGAAATTTTCACAGTATGTCTGATAATATTTTTTCTTCTGGAGAAAGTCTTATTTGTTTTATTTCAGCCATAATAAAAGCAGTTTTTAATATTTTAAACACATTTTAAGGTCAAAATTATCCCCTTTAAGCAAATTTTATTTTTCCTGATAGTCTACAGAACAAACCATCGTTATACAATAACTTGCCTAATTACCCTAACCTGCCTAATTAACCTAATTAACCTAGTTAAGCCTTTAAATGTCACTTTAAGCTGTATTGAAGTGTCTTGAAAAATATAAAGTCTAATATTACTTACTGCCATCAAGACAAAGATAAAATAAATCAGTTAATAAAACTATTATGTTTAGAAATGTGTTGAAATCGTCTCTCCATTAAGCAGAAAAATAAAAAGAGAGGCTAATAATTCTGACTTCAACTGTATATACAGAATCAGTCAACGGTCTGTAGTCATAATATACATTTAAAACAATCACAGTACTTTTGATGCAATCAAGTTATTGCTACTAGTCATTCAACTCCTTCCAGTGAAATCAAAATGTGTATCAAATAACAGATGTGAACATAAAATGAAAGAAAGATGTCATGCTAACCTGTTCATTGATGGGATATGGGATATATGCACTTTCCCATAATTCCTCTCTAGGACTGGACTAAAATAATAACATTAACCTTGAACGAGAGCCTAGATAAAACTGCTGGAGCATTTTGTTTCTCAAGAGCCGAAAGCCTCTGCACTTTAATCTTTACACCTGTGGCCAAATCAAACAGGCATGGCACAACATGCCCCAGGGGTTTGGTACGTGATATTACATATTAAGCAAGCAAAGTGTTCTGTTATTAACCAAGGCATTTTCACAACCATGTTTCTCACACAAACACCAGCTAAAACCATCTAAGACCAGCTTGACTATTCTGGTTTAAGCTAGATATAGCTGGTTTTGGCTGGGCTCCCAGCCTGGCTAGGCTGGTCAAGCTAGTTTTAGCTGGTCATCTCCCAGCCTGACCAGCTAAAACCAGGCTGGAAATGTCTGGAAACCAGCCTGGAAGTGGCCAAAACCCCTCTAAATCCAGGCTGGTCGACCATCCTAGGCAGGTTTAAGCTGGATTTTTCAGCAGGGTGGGAAGTTATCGAGAACTACCTGATCTCGTATACCTCCTAATGCTTATTGACCAGGCGGGAACCTTGGGCTCATCTATCTCCGAGCTCAGATTTCTCTCCCGGGACAGCATGCCAAACCTGCTAAAATAGTCCAGCATTATCTAAGTGTGAACACTTGAAGTCTTCAAATTGGAGTCAAACACCAACATTTTCTGCTCGTGCCCATGCTGTTAAGAGTGAATTGGTAAAAAGCATCGCACTTTATTGCTCAATTCTCAATCAAAGGACATTCTGCTAATTATAGATAAAGTTTTGTCAACACAATCTACTATCTCAAACCTAGCAGTCTCTGGACACTCGAACTAATACAGTGATAACAGTTATCAACGAGTCAACAGAATGTGGAGCATCAAAATAAATAGTAACCTGAAATGGCTCTTGCTGCTGTTTTAGGCTCACTCCAGTTCATGGTTTAAGAAGGTGTGCTCAGTTAATTCATACTCTAGTGAACGTAATTCAGAATTTTGCGCCTGTTCTTTGTTTTTCACAGTGTTGTTTTTATATATACGTCCAATAGTGACTCAACCAATAGTGAGACTTTAGGGTGGAGCTTGGGAAACCTGTTTGGAAACCATCTCTTCAGGATGTTTTGATGTCAACGCTGCTGCAGATGCCACACATATACAAACACATGCTAAAAACACAATTAACTACATTCCTGAAATCGTTCTGTCCTTGTGTTTCCAGCCTGTGCTTGTTTTCAAGCACGGTCGTTTCTTAAAGTTTGAGTGATGTCTGCCAGGTTTAGAACTGGAAGTCGACTCCAAAAAGAATCAAACCTTGATTTCGATTATTAAAGAAATCGTTTGGCCAAAAGTAAAAATTGCCCCATTATTTACTCACCCACAAGCCATCCTTATGCACATGACTTTCTGCTGTCGGATGAACACAGTCAGAGTAGAAATTTGATCATGCTGTATAATGGTGGCGACGCAGTAGCGCAGTAGGTAGTGCTGTTGCCTCACAACAAGAAGGTTGCTGGTTCGAGCCTTGGCTGGGTCAGTTGGCATTTCTGTGTGGAGTTTGCATGTTCTCCACGTGTTCGCGTTGGCTTGCTCTGGTTTCCCGCAAAGTCCAAAGGCATGTGGCACAGGTGAACTGGGTAGGCTAAAATTGACTGTAGTGTATGAGTGTGAATGAGAGTGTATGGATGTTTCCCAGAGATGGGTTGCAGCTAGTAGAGCATCCGCTGCATGAAACATAAGCTCGATAAGTTGGAGATTCATACCGCAGTGGCGACCCCAGGTTGATAAAGGGTCTAAGTCGAAAGAAAATGAATGAATGTATAATGGTGTTGGGTAGTGGCTTTTATTTTGAAGCGTAAAACTAAAACTGTGGGTAAACTAACCCACACATCAAGTGTGTCAAACTCAGTTTCTGGAGCCCTGCAGAGTTTCTTTTCATTCATACTAAAGCTGTGGTCACAATAGAGTTTGAGCTTGTGGAATTCATGTAAACAAGATGATTAGACATTTTAAAAAAAGCAAGTGATTGCACTATATTTAACATTTTTGCACTGGGGTGCGTTACCCAAAAACCATCGTTAGCCAACTACAGTCGCAAGTTCCGTCGTTATAAACATAGTTTGTTGATTTGGCGTTTCACAAATGCGTCGTTCCACTGAACATTCGCAAACTGCATCGCAAACTTGTGCACTTGCAACTACACCTCTGGAGCTGTAGTTAGAAACAAAGTTCCTGGCTGTGTTCTATTCCCAGTTATCCCCCCCTATGCCCTATTCATTTAGAACATTCTAACATTTAAACTCAGAATGATTAAAAATAAAACAGCATATAAGCTCATCTCTCTTAGTTGTAATTTGCTTTCAAACTATTTTCACAGTTCAGTTTTAGCGATCTTCATGTTTAGTATTGTGCTCCCTTCGCAGTGCATTTTGAAAACATTGATGTCATTTTGAACACAGCCTCATGGCGAAAGCTATAGGTGACCTATTATTTGAAAGCGGAATTTATGTTACGTCTACAAAGCTTGTGAAAACAAAAAAAACGCATACGTTACTTTTAATCTATAGTAGGTTATTTATTAAGTATCTGTACTGTATATGACATGGGCCTGCTGGTTAAAACTCTAAACAGGGTGGAGTAACAAGTTCTTTAGAGAAGAACCCCATCATTTCTTTGTGCAAATTATACTGTTTTACATGCACACGCATTTAAAAAAAAATCCAGTATTAGTTTTGGTAAAAACATGCACTCGCTTTCCATATTAACGGAAATATATGTAAATGGAATATACAGAGCCTGTGTTTCCTTTACTAATATTATAGAGAACTTTACATATTCTATTCTAAAACATAAAAAT